GGGGGAGGCGGGACTTCCGGGGCACGCGGCGCCAGGGACACGTCGGCAAAGGGCCGCCCGGGCTCCCACGTGGCCTCCTGCCGCGCCGGGGGCGGGGCCGGGCGGGGTCACGCCCCCTTTGCGTCACCACCCCACCCCTCTCCCTCCGCGTCCGTGCAGCGCCGAGCACCGCCGGCACCGGCGGGACCCGCCAGCCCCCCCCCCCGCCCCCGGCGGGGAGATAAGGGGTCCCGGGGGGGCTCCCCCCCCCGGCTCCCCCAGCACCCCCGGCCGTGCTCCCGAGCAGCGGTTTTGGGGAGAAAAGGGGAGAAGGGGGGACACCCCCCCCGCACCCCCCTCCCTGCTCGGCCGCTGCCGCAGGGGTGATTCTGGCCGGTGTCGGGGTGGGCAGCGGCACGGCGGGTCCTCGCTGCCCCGTGGGCCGGCCCCAAGGGCACCCCCCACCCCTCCCGCTCTGCTGCCCCACGGAGACACCCCACCCACCCCACCCCCGGCCTACCCGGGGGCTGCTGGGGGGGTCACCGGCACCGGGAGGCGAGGTCCGTCTCTCCCCGTGGCCTCGACCGCTCGAGGTCACCCGTCATCGTCGTGTCGTGGCAGCGGGGACTTGCAGTCTGGATGCGGCGCCGGGGTGTCCTCTGGCACGGTGCGGCTGCCCTTCTCCACGGGGGGGGCGGGCTCTGGGTACAAATCTCACATCTTAGGGTGACCCCAAATCCCCCCGCAAGCCCAGCCTGGAGCAGAAGGACCCGGGGAGCAAGCGCAGGGCTGGGACCTGGGATCACTCCTGCTCGGGCACGGCATCCAAGCCGGCGGCTCTAGCAAGCAACCGGCCAGCCGGTGGTTCATGCATGGACAAGGACTCTGCCCCGCTTGGGAGGCGATTCGGGGATGCCCCTGGTGCTTACCCGGCCGGAGACACCGTCCGTGGCTGTCCCGTTCCCCAGCAGCACCTCTGCCCTCAGCACGCCCTTCGGTAGCAGCCCTGCGGCGTGCCCCTCACCGCGGTGCCGGGGCACGGTGTGGGCCAGGACCAGCTCCTCGCACCCTGCCGCAGCCACTGCTCAGCTCCGCACTCGCCTCTGCCAGCTCAGAAACTGCCAGCCTGGTACCGAGTCGTGTCATTTGTGGGTGGTAGGAAACAATTATCCTCTTTTTGAGCGGTCACAGAGGGAATCCAGGCAATTGCATCTTTCTGCAATCCCCACTGTGGGGAACGGCAGCGGCACTGCTCTTCAGGCTGGCGGGAGCAGCTGCAGCTGCTGCTGCCGCTGCCGTGACGGTGGTCCCATGTCCCACAGGGCAGCCGGACCCCCTTGCACCAGGTACCGAAGCCCCCCCGAGCGTGGGAGGGAGCCCACTTGTGCTCCCCGGCCGCTCCTGCCTTGGGAACAGGGATGCACCGGTGCGTGATGCCGTATGGCACAGACACCGCTGTCGGGGTGCCCTGTCTGGGCACGGCTGCCTCGGCCGGCAGAGAGGCAGCAGGGTCTGCCGGTCCTGGCATTGCCCCCCGCAGCCTGGCCACCCACCCAAGGAAGTGGGTGCACCGAATCCATCAGGGGTCTGTGGCAGGAGGCTGGCTCTTGCCTGCATTTCGGGGCCGTCGTGCCCTGCTGGCATCTTCTACCTGTTCAGGGCACATTTTGCAGCCTAAATGTTAATTGTGTTTTTTCCATGCAGGGTTTGTTTCCAACACGCGAAGCCCGGCAGCAGCGCAGCCTTTGGCCCCTCTGCCACGGCATCCTCAGGGTCCTGCTCCTGGGGTTTTGCCCCGACTCCGTGCTGCCCTTGCCGACGTCTCCCACCCTGGTTCGGGCTGGTCAGGGAGGGATCCTCCTCCTGGCTTGCTCCCTGCCTGCTGCAGCCCTCCACCACTTTTAATTTTCTTGCTCCAGCTCATTTTATGATAACATATTTCTTTGTTTTCTCCCCTTTTCCTTTTTAATACTTCGCACCGTGATTCATGAGCACCGGGACGAGAGCTCGCCCATGAAGGGCAGGAAATCATCTCCTCTGCCCCAAAACCTGACAAAGCTGCTCCATCACCCTGATTTACAGCATTTCTGGGCCTGGTCCTTGCTGTGCCGCTGTCCTGGCTCACGGCTGCGTCCCACCAGGCTGTGCCTGGGGAGGCAAAGGGGCACGGCGTGTGCTCCAGCACCAGCTCCGGCTCTGGTGAAGGTGTCTTCAAGTCCCAAGATTGCCTCTTTTAGCCAGAATATTTTAATAATCATCTTTTTGATAGAAAAGAAAGTTAAAATGTAGGTGGGAATGCTAAGATAAAGTAGGTTTTCTTGGTTGGCTGACTCATCTGGGATTTTAACTTTCATGTGTGCTTTCTGGAGGAGAAAAGAAAGGATTTTCTTCCAGCCATCCCTGGTGCTCAGTGAGGAACAGGGTCAACCACTGCAGAAAGCCCAGAAAGACACAAAACAGCCTCAGACACGTAGAAAGGAGCTACAAAGAGGAGGGGAAAGCCGGCAGGATCACTCTGGGGTAACTGAACCATCCCCAACCAGCTGCAGCGCCCAGCTTCGGTACGACTGTGGGATTTGAGGTCCCATCCATCACTGCAGGGTTTCAGTACCGCCATGAGATTTGAGGTCCCATCCATCACTGCAGGGTTTCAGTACCGCCATGAGATTTGAGGTCCCATCCATCGCTGCAGGGTCTCTGTACCACCTCGCTGAGCTGCCAACACAGTCAGAAGAGATCCAAGACCTGCTTTTGCCAGCACTCACCCTGGGTGGGAATTGGGGTCCCCAGGGAGCGACCTGCCCTTGTCACTGCTGCCCGGCCATCCCAATGCTGGTGGAGCGCTGCACCGATGCTCCAGCCCTGCTCCGCGCCCCAGGGCTTCCCAGTGCTGTCACCGTGTCCTTCACGTGCTGGGGGGAGCACCCGGGCTGTATTTCAATGCAGAGCCCATAAATATTTCGTGTCAAGTGCTGACATTTTAATACAATGCAGAGTGATGCATTTTGCAAGTAATCGGGCTGGAGGTGGTGCGGCTGAGAAGCGTCTGAGCCCCAGGGCAGCGGTGCCAGCCAGCTGCTGGCACAGCAGCTCAGCACCATGGGTGCCAGACCATGGCCGGCCGGCGTGCCGAGGCACGAGGCTGCGGGAAGGGGCCAGTCACTGTTCCCAGGCTCCTGGGTGCAAATCCCAGCGGAGCCCCCCGGGGACCCCCAGCAGTGCATGGGCTGCGTGCATCGGTGCAACACTGGGCACCAGAAGGGACCTGGCTGGGGACTATGCAGCCACGCAGGGGTGGGCATGGGGCGTGAGCTCCCTGAGGAGCCCCAGGGGTTTCCAGCCTCCTGAGCAAGCCCGTTGGTGGTCTGAAATGCATCCCCTGCAATGCGGGATGAGGCTTGCGGGCACGTACCTGGCTCTCGTAGGAACCGTGGAGGCAAAGGCTGCTCTGCTGCTGGATAAAGGGGGTCTCCCCCTGCCCCCAGCAGTGCCAGGGGCCCTGTGCTGATCCCCAGGATGACCCTGCAGCGCACCAATTCCCCGTCCAACCCATCAACACAGCCAGCCATCAGCAGGACTGGACATGAGCCTTGTCCTCTAATCCCTCATTTCCCAGGGCCACTTCTCCCATTAGGGGTCTCCAGTCCACGCTCATCTCCTCCTGGAAATGCCTGGTGGCTCAAGGTCCCCCATGGCCCTGCTGTCCCAGGGGAGCTGCACTTCACCCCCCCCCGCCCCATCTCGGAGCATCCCGGCGCTTTGCATGGGACCCCCCGGTTCCACCATCCTTGTTGGCCAGAGAGCGCCCACCGTGGTGGGTGATGCTCAGCCCTTCCTGACCACAACCCCTGGGACCAGCGTGGCGGTGGCTCTCAGCTGGGATGAGAAGGAGGAAAAAACAGTAACTGGGTGTCAGAGGACCTTAACGACGTGGTCTCCTCTTGCCGGGGGTGGTAAGCAATTCTCAAGCGCGCTCCAAAGCCCATTATCTCGAGCGTCAATACCCAGTGCACAGCCTTGTGACAACACTAATGATCTCCTGGTGCTTCGTTCGTTTGCGCAGGCGGCAGGCAGTCTGCACAGGACGGGGGGCTCTGGCCCTCCTGCTCCCTCTCCCACCGGTGGTACCCGGGGAATGAAGCCACTTGCCAAATGCTGGACAAAACCCCAGGCATGAGCAACAGCGGTTTGCTAGCGAGTGAACATCTTGCTGCTAAAAAT